CCAGTGAAATATATTTATGTTTGTGGTTGTAATGTGACAAAATATGGAAAAGTTCAAGGGGTATGAATACTTTTGCAAACCACTGTATATTCAGTCCATAGCCTAAAATAAGGTCAAGAGTGTGACCCTTACGTGTTGGCCCAGACACGAACTGTGTTAAGTTTAGAGAATAGATAATGTTCTTAAAGTCTTTAACTAGGGGGTTTGTCATCACAGCATACATGAATGTTGAAGTCACCTACAATTAAAATTCTGTCATAATGAGAAATAAAATATGACAGGAAGTCTGAAATTTCAGAAATAAAATGGTCCTTCCATTTAGGTGGGTGGTAGATCACTCCCTCCTYCATCCTCCTCCCCATGATCCTCTCCAGCTTTGGAGTCATCTTCTCATTACAGGGTATGATGGGGAATATATTAACAGAAACAATCATTGGCTGGTGCAGTTTCTCTGCCTCCAAAATATACAGTATATACATAGTTTCACATCCCGAGCTGAGCGGGGTCTAATGTTTTCCTCAGACACCAGCTGAAAGAATGAATACTGGGCTCGTGTTTGCCAGGTGTTGGGTGCCAGGGTACTGAAGAGTTTCTCAGTTGTGCGAGGCTCTGTGTGCTGGAGATTAAACTCAAGAGTTTATTAACAAAATAACATCAAAAAACTCCAAACTTCTGCTAGTTTATTTTATCATTTAGATTATTTATAGCTTTCCTTCGTCTTGCTAGGTAAAATACTTGAAGCTCTGTTGGTTTTGGATAGATGGTTGAATAAATAACATTTAATGACTCCATCTTGAAGCAGTTCCTGGTAAACACCTTGACAACATGTAAAACATTTCTAAATCCTGTCATCTAAAATACTGTGATTTTTCAGATCTCTTGAARTGGGGTTCTCTGGAAAATGTATGAACATTTAATATCTTACCTGCTGTAGACCGCTTTGTTGAATGACCTCAGTTTGGAGAAACAAATTTTGGTTCTGCTGATGAGCTAAAGGCTAGTCCGAATGCAGCCAAAACCAAGGTGGATTGTTGAAAAAATCTTAAATGTCACAGTTATTTCGGCAGTCAATTTATAAAGCTTTAAACCAATGTTAGTCTTTCATTTTACAAATTTTTTTTTGTTATTTTGTGCGAGCACAAATAGAAGCAGCAGCTAGCTTTAGAACTTCCTTTCAAACTGAAGTCATTCAGCACTATCTACCGCAGAGAAGATATTAATTGTTCAAAATCTTTGGACAGATGCTTTTTAAAATGTCTTAAAATGTCTGAAATATTTTTTCAACATTGACCCTTCACGAAAAACGTCCCAGTGGTTCTGATAGTTTTATGTTTTAAACTATGTGTGTGTGTGTATGTGTGTGTACTGCAGTGGACCTTGCCAGCGTCCTGACCCCTGAGGTTATGGCTCCCATCCTGGGCAACCATGAGGTGCAGCAGAGGTTGATGCCGTTCCTGCCGACGGGCGAGTCTCTGCCTCAGAGCTCAGAGGAGCTACACAACACGCTCAGCTCGCCTCAGTTCCAGCAGGTGTGTTTACCCTGTACTCAGCTTCTGGTTCACACTGCTCAGTTTGACAAACACAAGAATCTAGTTTGTGTTCAGCTTCCAGCTTGTAATCAAAGATGTTCAGGTGTAAATAATACCCTGTGGCAATTGTACATCGTTTTTTCCTGGACTGAACTTAAAGGTGCAGTATGTAACTTTTCTAAAAATATATTTTTAACATATTTGTTCACTCTGTC